GGTGGCTGTAGCTCAGGTGATAGAGCAGGTCATCTACTGATCGGAAGGTTGGTGGTTCGATTCCTGGCTTCCCCTAGTCTGCATGCCAAATGTCCTTGGGCAAGATACTAACCCCAAATTGCTCTCCGATGCGTCCATCGGAGTATGAATGTGTGTGAATGTCAGTTAGAAAGCACCTAGGAAAAATGTGCTTGTGCGAATGGGTGTGAATGGGTGAATGCGCAAGTTGTATTGAGTGCTCAGAAGAGTAGAAAAGTGCTATATAAGAACCAGTCCATTTACCACTTAATCATTATCATGTTGTTTTAGATGTGGTAAGATGACCAGTGATTTGAGTTAATACAGAGAGACTATGAAAATACCCCAATTTAGGATATAGGATTATTAGGACCAATACCGATATTTGGTTATTTCAAAATCGATATATTTTATATATATAATTTTTTTCAAATTCTATTTTCAGGTGCGTAAAACATAAAATTCGTGTTTTTTTCTTATTTATAATTTCTAAGATAAAATATTCTTGTTTTTTTGCTACAAGTCATGAATTACTCGTTTACTCTCTGCCTGACTCTCCTTACATCAGCTGGCTGTTGTGCTTGCAGTGTTGCCTATTGTGACAAAAGAAAATGAACAATGAAAGTGAACTGACATCACTGAAAATCAGTTTGATCATATTACAACATATCACCAGCAGGGTGTGCTAAAGCATGAAATTGTGTCCACCAGAGTGCCCTCTAGTGGACACAACTTGGAAAAATAAACACTCATAGAATGACTGAAGGGTGTTTCTTCCATCTTTTACCTTTTTTATTTTATCGCCTGTTATAAATGCTGATACCAGTATATTAGCAAATAGCTAACATCAGTGATCATAATACTACTGATGACCAGCAGAGTGTGCTGAAGCACCACTGTTAAAATAAATTTAAAACTGTTAAAGTAAGCCAAAGAGCAAATTTTAGTGTGTTTCATGGTGTGTGTTATTAAAAATATTAGTTTTATAACTGCCATGACTCCACCAATCTTCAAATCAGCAGTTCCACTTGAAACTACCGAGCGGTGCAGTGGTCCACTTATAAACAATACTGATACGTATCCACAAGTTAAAGCACGTGCAACTCACATACAAAACAAGTTTACCTCTCAATAAAGTTAATGCCCTTGTCACCTTAGCTGAAAAATGTCTTCAGTAACATGTGCTGGTGTTTTGAGACATGCAAGCACAAACACACCCATCACTTGGGGCACAATGCCAGTTGCTAAACTCTATTTTAAACGACAGCATTAATGAGAAATATTGGATAGTCAGGCAGAATGCTGCACCTGTTCATGTAGCCTTGTACATCCTGAAAGCGAATGAGGACGCAAAGAGCTTTACCCCGTAACGAGGCCAATAACTAGCTTAAAGCCTTTTTGTGCATGTTGTTTGCTTTAATGTGTCCTTGGCTCGTGAGCCTTGATAATGTTAGTAAATACATACAGGAGTGTGGTGAAACTGGGCTGGAATCCACACATGGAGGAGGAAGGGAGTGTCACCAGGGAGAAGAGAGAAAAGAGAAGTGGATGATTAGACTGGTTTTACTGCTCCTCTGCCGACCTAGAAAAACAGCAGACCTGACCTTGCATAGCAGAACCCTTATATATCTAATGATCTCTGAGTAGCTTAATGATACAATGTTTTCTCTCTCCCACTCTTTCTCGCCGTTTTCCTTCCCTCTCACATTGCAGCTTTTCTCTCTCTTTTAGCACAAGCTTTTGCACACGCACACTAGTCCACACAGACACACACAAAGTACACAGCCTTGAAAAACCCAGTCAGCAGTTTGGGCTCGGAGTCTAGCAAATGAGCTGTCCTATTGAAATAGAAAAGAGAGTGCTCTATGCTGTGGAAAATGCTGCTATGGCAAGGCTTACAGAAGAGGGACGGAGGGAAAATTACTTGTTCGGACAAAGAAACATGAGAATGTCCTTTCACTACAAATGTACCAATTTACATTTGGACGGGGCAGATTACATCCATTTCTTCTATACTTTATTTCTTTTTTAGCCCTTTTTTACCACCCCTACACCTCTTCTCATTATCATTCATAAAACGCCACTGTAAGCGCAGCAAGGAAGAGAGAGAAAAAAAATTCCAATTCAAAAAAATTACCCTATTTTTCATTGATTCACTGTTCCTTTATCTCGTCCTAGGTACTCCATTGGTTTTTAACGCTCCAAGTGTAGTTGGACTCCTGCAGTTTAATGGTGGTAGCACCGTTATACAGCTCAGTTGAATTGTATCAAAGATGACTAACCAGCCATAGTGCCATTCCTACAGCGGGGTACTAAATACTGTGTAGCAGTACAGTACACACCAATAGGAGTGCATTATTTGAGATGATGGGTCTTCAGTGATTGATTTAACTCAGCGATCAAGAAATTTGACCACTGGGAAGTTTATTAAAAAAAAGAAAGAACACATTCTGGCCTTTTTGTCATTGTATAGAAGGAAAACTTTGGCTTAAGTCATTCATTTTTGGGCTTAATTCCCTCTCTTTGACTACTTAATGCGTACACCTCCGCTTTGTTCTGGTATTCCCCTTTCTTGCTGCACGCAGTAATTAAGATTCCATTTTCCTTTCAGTACGAACGTTAAAGTGGAGGGTTATCATTGGGCTTCTGTAAGCTCAGCCAATGAAACACCTATAGTGACCTCTCTGATTTCCCCAATAGGGGGTCCTCCCTCCCAATAACCCTCTCCCCCTCTTGGCCATCTTGTTGTGTGGTCTCCTCTCTTCAGTTCTCTCATTACTCCCTGTGTGAAGGCCCGGGCGATGGGTGGCATGGGAGGAGTGGGGCGGTTGCAGAGGAGGGCTTCTGTCCCTGGATGAGTGAGTGTGGATAAGAAGTTGTTTGAATTCATAATTGTGCTCTTGTGAAGGGGGAGATTTGTAAAGCAAGGCTGGGTTCATTGTGTGGCAGTGCGGGTCCGGTGGAGGGTGCGAGCTGCTCAAAGCTAATGTAATCTACGCTATTAGAGAGGGTTAATTAGCTGCTGAACTGGAGCCTGAAGAGCAGGCAGAGAAGGAGAGGCACGCAGAGTGAGACAGAGAGAGAGAGAGGGAGACGGAGGGCGGGCGGGCAGTAGGGATAGAGAGGTCTTCAGGGAGTCATTAGAGACTGCTTGTTGTAATACAGCCACACAGTCAATAAGGCTTCTCCTCTGAGGAGTTAGAAGAAAGGCGAAGAAAGACATGGTGGGAGAGAGAGAGTTTCACACCGAGCTTGTGGACGTTAGCAGCTCTGCCACTGGACACATGCTAGGGAAATTCTTCCAACTTGTAACCTTGTAAAGGCTTTTACCGACAAAATCTGTTGTAAATCGATCAGTTCTCCACAAAAATGTGTTTTTATAACACACTGTTAAATTATAAAACATAATTTCATCATTGGGCTCAACTTTTTTTCTCTTCTTTTTTTGCTTTCAAAACCAAAAAATTGCTCTGAAAAGTCAAAGTGTTTGGCTTCTGACTTTAAATACTTTAAATGCCTTATTTTTACTTTTTATTTATTTATTTGTGACTTCTTGCTGTCACGTCCTTTGTTATTAATTATTCCCCAAGCAAACAAATCCCAAACCCAACCAAACAAAACAGAAATTGCACTCCAGGTTTCAATGCAATGAGTTAATTGTTTTTTTTAATCAATATCCTTTGAGAAAGCATGCGTAAGTGTTCTGAAGCTCATCTATTGACCCACAGAGTTAAGTACCTAGAGCAGCTTGGTTCATTTACATAGAATATGTTGTTGAGTTGAGATAAAATGACCACAGATAGAGAGCAGACATCACATAGTTTCAGTGAAACTTTGGGAATTCAATGTGGAAACTTCTTATTCCAGCATAGTGAGTGGTCTTATTAGTCTATGTTAACATCCACAGAAATTAAGAGTTGCAAAATTTCAGGATGCAAAACTGTTGATTTCTTGAAAATGCATTAAAATGCTACTAATGCTAAATATTGGCTGTAGAAACCAAACCTAAAGAAAGAATATCGTATATTCCCTGCCTGCTAATTGTTTACATTGAACACAAAATGCATCAGTTTAATTAGACTACCAGGCCTGCATAATTTTATGTTCTTTTAGTTTAGCTTCTTATGAGTGTGTAAAGCCTAGCCTTAAAGTAGCTCATCTGAAGCATTGCAGGCCCCCGGCTAGCAGTTATATTTATCACCGTGTCCTCCAGTAGTCCATCCTATGCTGCCATGGGTCGCTCTGAGCAAAACTTCGCTTAAGACGGGTAGTTAGTGTCTGCTCCCTTGACAGATTTAATGCAGATTAATTACTTTCCCTGGCCCAAGCAATCCATTTTTGTGTGTTTGTGGATGTTTTTAGCTTTTTTTTTTCTTGACCTTGGGGTGAAGTAAGACAGAAAGACAGAGAGAGGAAGGAAAAAAAGCCCTCCACACTAGACTTATACTCTCAATTTAATAGCCGAGTGAGGTGTTTCTCCTGCATCATCAGATCAATGGAGAGTAAATAGCCCGCACTTCTTGTTTCACAGAGCGGTATTGATCTTTTCCTCAGCCTCGGCTTCCCTTTCCCCAGCATCTCATGTCTTTCAACCCCTGGGACTGTGCTGATTGCCATAGATTGGACAAGCTAACAAGCGCATGATGAGGAACCAGGCTTTCTTTTCTTCTCATAGGCTGTTTCTTTTTTTTCCGTGTGGCACTGGCATGAACACACTCAGACAGACATACACAGAGGGACTTAAAAACATCAGATCTACACAGCTCGGCACCATAAAGGAATATGCTGTTTCTTTCTTGTTCCCTCTGTTGTGCCTGTTGTTCTGTCTTCATCTGCACTGAGAGGATCTGCTGTAGCTGTGCCCGTCTTAGGGATGTTTGCCAGACTGATGGAGTATACCTACTTAACTACACAATAACAGCAACCCAGAGATACTCAGGGTGTTTCTTCACCTCACTGGGAACTTTATTTTTTTTTTCCAGCTGGCACCGTGTTTGTTCCAGAATCTTCCATCATCTCTGAAAATATCCCAAGTGGCCTGCGGAGAGCGACACACTCTGTTTGCTCTGGAGGATGGCAGTGTGGCGGCATGTGGGTAAGTTCAGTGTCAGTGCAGCAGACAGTTTGCCGAAGTCCAGACCTGAGGGGGATAGGAGGAGAGATAAGGAGGAAAACCCCTCCCCACATTCCATCCAGCTGATATTATTGCATAGATAAATAAGGGTTTGAAAAATTGTGCGTGTATGAGGATACGCTGATGAGAAATCATTGGCTAATTAAACTGTCTGTGTGTACGGGAGTGCACCTGATTACATTTCTGTGCCTTTTCATTTCTTCCAAGCGTATAAAGTTGTAATAAATCTTGCTGGATGTGGGTGAGACAGGTGCATGTGTTGCTGTGTGACTGAGGATCAATAAGAAGTGTGTTTATTGAATCCAGCAGTCTTTCCGTAAGGGCGGGGAAATAAACCAACTGGAATAAGCGATCAGATGTGCTTTTAAGGCTCATTACAAGCCTGTGTGGCATATAGATCTGCTTTTAAACAGGACCTTAGATTGGCTCATGCTTGAACACTGCAAATATTATACAGTATCAAAATTCAGAACCATATTACAAAAACTTTAAATTACTTAGCTCTCTTGTTATTTATTTCCATGTTTATATGGCAATATGAATTTTTCTTTAGGGTATATGGCTTTATGGTAGGCTAATAGTGCCTGAATTGAGCAAGTTGGAATGATTTTGTTTCACATTTTTCTGTCATTGTCTTCCTTTTTATTTCTTCTCTGGTAACATGAGCAGCTGTTTGACCTACAGCTTGTCATTAAAACTGAAGACAATGAGCATAATCACAAAGGAAAAAAAAACCGTTTTTTTTATCATAAATAATCAGGACAAATGTATGATCAAGGGCTGTGAATTGTACATTGTGCAACAACTGACTGAAATAACTAATATCTGATGTTTAACCAGCAGAAACAAAGAAAATCGTGAAATACGCATCAACGGTTTGGTGCTTATTCAGGCCATCAGTCAATCTTTCTATTAAGATGAGATGAGCTTTGCTTTTATGAAGCAAATTTAAATATCTAATTATTATTATGTTGTAGCTTAAAGGGGAAATCAAAACTGGTAGAAGTGACCTTGCCGGGCCTGGATGTTCATATGCCATTGAAATAGCTGTATGCAAGTCTGTGCTAAGAAACAGCTAAAAGGCTAATACGAAGACTGACAACATTAAGCGATGACAGTGCACTGTGAAAAAAAAGGTTTCACTTAACAGTTTGTGCCATAATTATCCTTGCTGATGGTGACACGTATAAGTTTTACTAGCGTTAGATTCTGTCCTCTTCCAAATTCAAAATTAGACCTCTTTAGTATTCTTTGGTAAGCTATACCAAGCTAAATCATGACTTCTTTCCATTCTTATCTTCTCAGTGCTATCTCACCTTTTACATGTAGCTGATTTAACCACAAATAAGACGTAAATGCACTCCCATTCTTCCCTCTCATCGTGGCTCCCTGTGTTTGCATGTAATATTTTAGGCGACTCTGGAAGGGATGACAGTTCTAACTAGGCCTATTAGGTAACCCTCAGGGTGCCCTCAGCACTGATTTGAGCACCATTAATTTTCTATTATGGAGTGCTAAAGATGTGCCCCTGCACAGTCATTCACCTGGCTTATTGAGTCTCACACACACCAATTGTGGACTTTTCCAGGGCAGTGTTGCTCAGGGTTTAGTGCGACCCCTCTAGGGAGCTAATTTATTATTTGCAGATATTGATCTGGCAGGGTAGGCCAGCCAAGCCGTGGCCGATGTTGACTCTGCTCTGGCCTGTGGCGACTTTAACCCTTTACAGATTGAAGTAGACACACACTAGATGGAGGGCCAGTCGCTTTCAGTAGAGCTTTGAATTCCTTTGCTTTTACAGTGTTTTCTTTTTTTTCCCTTCTAATGACGAACTGATGGAAATATATTTTTTTTCAAAAAGGAAAAGATACGTTTTATCTTTTGGGTGGTGAAGCTTTAAAAAAACAAGAAAAAATGAGCAGACACATTCACACGTGCACGTACACACAGAGAGGCGCACAGTGTCTGGCCTGTCCAAGGGAAATAAAATCACAGTTAAGAGGAAGGAAAACAAATTTAGAAGGTCAGACAAAACATTTATCAAGCTGTGTATGTCTGGTGGGTAAATAACGGAGGGACAGTAAAGGGCATGACTCTGAAACCAGCAGATACCTGCAACAGATCATCACACAGTCTCAAGATTCACTGCAGAAAACGGATATTTCTCTGAGGGTCGCCTTTGCAGCATTTACTAATATTCTCCTCTGTATTGCAGTTTTATTTTGAACATAAAACTGAGTTATTACAGCATACACCCATGTGACTGAAATGAAAGTTGTCATGGAGAAAGAAAGAAAAAGATTGAAGCTGCATAGACATGTCTGCTTGTGGATAGATTAGAATATAGTACAGTACAGCATAGCCTACACTGAATAGGAGATCTTTTTCCCTGATTCTGGGCTTCAACTAATAAAGGTTATGCATGTGCATTGTGTACATTTAAGTTGCAGTGCATACCAGATGTGCTACTAACATAATTTAATTTATTGTGATTATAAATAATGAAATAAACACCAAAGAAAGGGTGAGATTAAATGAAAACAAGACTTCTAAATTTAAATCGATCATAGTGTAAGAGTGTAACCCTAACCCTTAAAATTGGATAAATATTCATTACATATGTTGTACAGTGCTTTTACAACTTAAGCTATATATAAAGGCTGTTTAAGAGTGTATAAGAAGAGTGTATAATAAGAGTAAATTGCAGCTATTAAAAAGAATATCATGCAGAAATATTCCCCATCAGTCCTATGCTATGATGTAATTGAAATGACTCGAGCCAAAAACAGACTTCTGAGGGAGATGAACAAGACAGGACATGAACATTGCATGAAATCCAATATCCAGATGTGAATTCTGCGCACATGTGCATCGCGTTGGATTGTCCTGTTTTACTTAGTTTATTTATCCATTTATGTCCTCATCGCGCATCTACTCTATTAACTTACTATCCAACACTAGTACTCACCAAACACAAACAGTCATGCCCAGGGACTAATAAGCAGAGTCCCCCAGGCCTCCTCAAGGCCTTGCAACAACCTCATTGTCACCCTGACCTGTATTTAATGCTCCCACTGAACCTCGGAGGCCAGACAGCAGTTTGCCTGTGTGTGTCTGTGTGTTTGCCTGTGTGTTTCCGAGCCAAGTAATTCACAGGAGATATAACCAAGAAAAAGCACCCAAAAAAAAAAGAAAACAAAAGCTGTAGATTAGAAAACCATGGGGGTGTCCTGTGATGAATGCTAGGTAGAGGGAGGGGAGCATGATGATAGATGTCCAGAAAGGAATTACGGAGGATAATAGACCACCATTTTCCTTTTATACCAGTTGTTATGATAGCGTTCGGAATAATCTTTTACGACCTAGAATAAAAAATAAAGGTCACGAAATTATCTAGAGATAAAAGTGCCTCCAACTAATCCACATTTGTCCATATTACTTCTGTAAAGACCATTTCATGGTTGACAGGCCCGTCTTTTGTTGAATTTGGCAGAACCTGAGGAGATGGTACATATCCATCTTCCATGTTTGTGTGAGTCACTGAAACAGAGGTGGAGGTCAGAGAGAAGACATCCCTGATGAGGAAACATGATGGAATGGATTTTCCACTGTTTTGCTGAATAACCTCTGCTAATGCTGTTACACAAGTAGCAGCAATCCGCCCATTGAGCCCTGGCAGGCAGGAGGACAGAGGGAGGAAGCCACCATCTTTACAAAACATCACATGCCACAGCCAAAACTCAAATGTCTGAGTGTTACTAGAAAGTGAAGTCTGTGGAGGCTCTCATCACAGCTGCTCATGCTCTGAGACCAAGAAGCACAAGTCAAGGGGAAGAAAAAGTAAAAGAAAGTGAAACACATGGAACTGGGACAAATACGATATTACACATTATCCCTTATTTTGTAATGTCTCTGGCATATTTTTGAGCTTTTCATCAACCAGATCAGTCTGCTATGAAAGAACAGGGTAGGCTTTCTTTTTATGCCGTGTCTCTAAATGTGTCATTATCAGACTCGATCTGCTCTCAGCTGCTGGAGATAAGTCCAGCATTTGGTCTAGACTGATTAAACACGAGCGGGCATGCCTAGATTGAACATAAAGAAGTGTGGAATTTTTATATCCAGCTTCTTTTACTAAAAATGGTACATGCTTTTAGTTTATCATGAAATTTTTTCATTGGATTTACATCCATTAAAGAGCTTTGGAACCTGTGCCATTACAAATTGCTCTATATGTAAAAGGAGTAAATGTGGTTCTAAAGCAACACAGTTGTCAATAGGCATCAAGCAGCCGTCGCTGACGTGCCTGCTGTCTCATCAGTAATCAGGCCAATCTGTTTTAGCAGAAAATGGCCATACACAGCACAGCATTGATGAAAACGTCTTATTTCAACTCCATGGTGCCTTGAGAAGGCAAAGCAAATCAGCAAATGTTCGTGAATTTGACAGAACAAGCGTGGAAATTCTATGACAACTAGTTGGATTCGGTGAGCCGAGTGCCAGTACTTTGCATTAAGTTACACTAAGCGCTAATTGGATGCTACCTGGCTCTACATCACTAGCAGCTCTGAACAGGATCAGGATCTGGCTCTGACTAACAGCAAGCTCTCTGGTGTTCCTGGCTGATTACCCTCAGCAAAGGGAAAACCGAAACGATGATGAGAAAAAAATCCCTTCTCTTCTCTCACACAAGCCCTTGGCCCTGTTGGCACTGTGCTAGCTTTTTGATTTTTCCTGATGTCCCTGAAATTGATTTTCAGCCATGATTGCATCGCTTCTCTGAGGATAATCAAAGATTTTGAATAATTGCTGCAGTATGACTATACAATGGGGAATGACAAGAATAGTGGCAACTTCCCCTTGCTGTCTTCTATAGAATAATTTTAGCGGAGCACTACCGTATGACTTCACAACATACCTCTGAAATGGTTCCCAGTTGTAAGCATGACACCATATGTTTG